ATCATCTTCATACAGTTCGTGACAGAACTTGATACTGACATCACCAATATGGTAAGACTTAGTATAGCCTCTATCACTAATGGTGTAAGTGGCGTCTCCTATTACTTTGCCATTGATACGTGAGTCAGGTGCCCTCTCCCATAACCAACTCTATTTTGATCAGGTACTGCTGAGACGTAGAATGAATTGAATCAAAATCAGTTTATCCCTGATGTGGCTTCTCTTGTCATTATCTATCGTCGGCAATAATTATCACATTTGTGCTGTGTTCATTAGTTGTCACCCACGATCATGAAGTTATTCAAAAACACACCTGAGTGTTGTGCAATTGTGTTAGTAAACTTCCATCACTGTTCATCATTAAGGTTTTTATTGGTCTTCTAAAGTGGTGTTCAGTTCGTGATACAGGAAATTAAAAATAATGCATATTATGGATCATGAGGAAACGTGAATCTTGCGACAGTGTGTACCCCTTCTCTGCTCTATTCAATGCTCTTCTATTCCTGAATAATAATATGAGCAATGGGTGTCCCTTTAATAGAAAAGACAGTTATCAGAAGAAATTATAAATGTAGGACTAATTATATGTCTTTTTCCGACATTCCAAAACACGAAAGTTATAGAGAGGAAATGTCTGCAATTAAATTTGTTATGGCAGTGAATATGGGTGTAAAAATATCTGCTAATCGTGTTAAATAATTCTTCAGCAACTATCGTTCGCTCTTTGTTCATACAAATAACATGGGACGCAATAAATAAGATATTCATAACCAGTAATTAATTACATGAAAAATATGTATATATTAATAATGATTCGTTAAATTCCAGCAAAGTGTAGTAGCCTCTAACATCACGCCCGAATATATCAGTATCTCCGGGGACTCAGCTTTCAATTTAATTTATTCTACACATCCGTGGTCTTCCTAAAACTTCCTTCACTCATATTACACTCTGATATCGACACCCTATTACCTAATATATTTATAAATCAATAATGAGAGATATGTGTCATTCATCTTTATTCTCGTTGTTCATTATAATAAGGTTATAATTATTATTAATGTAGCTTTGTACAATTTCAGAGGTTGGTTTTAGTGTTCCTGGGCGTGACCCTGCTAGCAGTGTCTTGCCTGGCCGTGCCAGGCTATGGTGGAGGTGGCGGCGGACGTGGAGGTGGAGACGGCCGTGGAGGAGGTGGCGGCCGTGGAAGTGGCGGCGGTGGCTATAGTGGAGGGGGTAGTGGTGCAGCGAGGGGTGGAGGTGGTGGCAGAGGCGGCGGTGGTGGAACCGGCGGTTATGGTGGAGGTGGTTCAGGTGGCAGCGGAGGTGGCTTCGGTGGAGGAAGCTTCGGTGGCGGTGGTTATGGTGGAAGCGGTTTCAGTGGAGGCGGTTCCGGTGGAGGCGGGGGAGGTTTTGGCGGAGGAGGCTTCAGTGGAGGTGGTTATGGTGGAAGCGGATCCGGTATTGGTGGTTCCGGAGGTGGCGGCTACGGTGGAGGAGGCTCCGGACGTGTCTTTGGTGGAGGAGGCTTCGGTGGGGGTGTTGGAGGTGGCAATAGAGGAGGTGGTGGAGGTGGCTCAGGTGGCGGTGGATATCGAGGTTATGGGAAATAACTATAATATTAATAAATTACATTAAACCAAGTACAAATCATTTACTTTAACAAACCTGTATAAAGTGCAGCTTTTAATGAAGGAACTGTGATGATCTTTACTAGAGAAAATACCTCACGGCTATAAGGTGACTTGTCATGCTTCCTGCCTTGTCTTCTACAAACATGTACATTGGAGGTCCAGTCTTGAAACAGTCCATGACAGAACTTGATTAAATTTACTTATCTGGAACGTCACGATAAATGGTAATCTATTGTACATATACTTGAACTGGCATCAATAATCTCATTTTTTACACCTGGTACAGAAATGATATAGAAGTCTTGGCATATAAACAATAATAATTACGAAACAAGAATATGCTCAATGTATATTTCAATATATTGTAACAAAACCCTAAATGGCCAAACAAAACATTAATAAGATACTGAATCTCAATAAGTGTGGTGAGTGACTGTCGATAGAGAAAAGATATGGATATGGTGTTATTATTATTATTATTATTATTATTATTATTATTATTATTATTATTATTATTATTATTATAATTATTATTATTATTATTATTATTATTATTATTATTATTATTATTATTATTACTATTATTATTATAATTATTATTATTATTATTATTATTATTATTATTATTATTATTATTATTATTATTATTATTATTATTATTATTATTATTATTATTATTATTATTATTATTATTATTATTATTATTATTATTATTATTATTATTAATATTATTATTATTATTATAATTATTATTATTATTATTAATATTACGTTTATTATAATTATTATTATTATTATTATTATTCGTATTACTAGTATTTTTTTTATTATTATTATTTTTATTATTATTAATATAATTATTATTATTTCATTCGAACTACTACAACACTTCGCCACTTTAGTTTCCAAGTTAAAAAAGAAAATAGGTTAATTCGTTTAATAAATAACAAATTATTTTCCAAATATCTCCAGAGGTATTGAACTACTGTGTATTATGACTTAAAATCTGGGGCCAGTAATCTCGAAATATTGACATAAACCTTAGTTATTAAAATTTTCTTTTAATATATCTATGTAAATTTGATTAAAGTTTGAAGTTTTGTGCGATTTATAGCGCTGTGAAAATAACGTTAAATGAAAGGCTCATGTCTCTGCGTTCCATATTCGGAAGCTTGAATATTTTGTCTAAAAATCCAGCGTACTATATTTAATTTTTCTACAAAATGTACTCTTCTTCCTAATATTATCCGCCTGCATGTGGTTAAGCTATCTTCACCTCCAGCAATACCCTCAAGTCCCTTTCACTTCACAACCTCTCCCCAATTGCCTATAGAATTCTCACCGCAACTCCAGTACCTTAACAGCTTTCCCTCACCGCCAGTGCCTCTACAAAATTCCTCATACCCTAGTACAGTTACAACTTTCCCCCATTTCCCCAGTATCTTTTGCTAGCTTAAGGCTGCCCGTCGTACCCGACGACGACTCTGCTTCATTATGAAATCGATGATGATGATGAGTGGTGAATTAGGGATGTTGTTGACGGTGCCATTGGATGTCGCCGTGGAGTCCAATCCTTGACCCACAGAGTCTATCACACATTGGGTAGGACAAAACCGGGTTAGGTCGGTGGTCTCTTGGCGTGCGATTGTGTCTCTTTTCCATACATGCACACCAGTCCCTATCATGCTCGTTCTCGAGATGTTTGACGACTCTGGTACAGGTGGAGTGCCATAGACTAGGGTTGGATGCAATAGTTTAAGATCCATTGCAGGAATGTAAATTATTTTAGCACCATTCTGAGCTGGTCTTTGAACCTTTTGCATTATCCTCCTAGTTGGGGCTTGCCTCGAGCAGCTGCTCGTAGAGGATCTGGCACGTCGGTGCTCTGGCATGCGAATGACGTGTTACGGCCATTGCAACTGTGTCGCTTCGCCAGAAATACTTGGTAAACAGAAAGCTTGGTTGTAGCATTGAGACTGTTACTGTTGAGCCTTCTGGTGCGCAGACGACCATAGGAGGCACCTGCAAGATGGATCCGAACCTGGATCTCTTCGTCGATGTTTTGCTTGGGAGTAAGAATGATACCGAGGTAGGTAATATGAAGGTGTAATGCAGGTGGTGGGTCTGCGCGTCTGTGTTGAAAAATTGTCTCGTTTTTTTTTTCTATTAATTTTAATCCGATATCCTGATATATTACGGAGACAATCGAGAGACTTTGTTCGAGGGTTCTGGGAGTGAGCAACGAGCATGCAGACGTCAGCAGTCGTCCAAGATGTGAGAGGTAGACGTTTTTTTTTAATGACTGAAGGCGGCGAAGGTTGAACATGTTGCCGTTTATGCGGAATTGAATCTTCACGCCGTCATCGTAGTTCATTGATCAGGATCATTGCTGTGAGGCAGACATTGAAGATGACGGGTGCCAAAACGCACCCCCGTTTCACGCCGACTTCAATACTAAAGGGTTTGGACTTGTTGTCCCATGCAAGTGCACATGTTTGCATGTCCCCACAGAAGCTCTTACGGATTTAAGAGATTATGGAGGGACACAAAGCTTAGAGAGAGCTGTCCAGAGCAGTTCTGTATTGATGGTATCGAAAGCTTTCAATAATTCGATGAAAGCTATGTATAGGTCACGGTTCTGTTTATGGCATTTTTCTTGTAGTTGACGGACGGTAAAGATCATATCATTTGTGGTGCGATCTTTACGGAAGCCACATTGCATTTTAGGCAGAGTGGAGTCAGCGATGTGTTGGGCTAATCTGCAGAGGATAACCTGACTTGTACATTGCTTGCCACCGTTACAACTCTTCCCCAAACCACAAGTGTCTTTACAATTTTTCCCATACCTTGAGCGTCTAGCCGACCTTCCTTACTCTAATAGTGTCTACAACGACACTCTCTGAAGCAGAACCGTACCAATGAAGTATTAATGTATTAATGACTACTAATAAGTTTGGAATTTGGAAGATTTATTAGTATTGATAGAAAGACACAAAATGCACAAAAGTGTATTGGAAAAAGTTATCTTTATTGGTATAGGTTTGAATAGCTTGACAATCTATAGCATGATCTCCTTAGGTAACTATTTTATTACTTTTTATTTTTATTCGCTCTTCTAATTCATATTGAATTTTAAAAGTAATTTATAAAACAAATTTAAAGAGAATTTAAATAACAATAATTTATTTACTTATTAATAATATTACGTTTAGTATGGAATTTTCTCTGTTATAAAAATAAATACCAATACTAATTTACTGAAATACAAAGTTACAGTGTGTCTAATTTTTTTTTCATTTTTACTCTACATGCTCGGAACTCCATAATTTTAGTGTATTAAACACATATAATAAAAGGAATGATAATATTTTAACCACCATCCGGGCTGTTAAAGGATTTAATGAAACTTGTGATGTTGACCTCGAACATTATAATTCGGTCAAACCTGTTGAATACAATTCATTTTAATATTTCAAATAAATCTTACATAGGCAATCACTTAAATGTCTAATCCAATATATATTTACATAGCAATGATAGCTATGTAAACAGTCTAATCTTAACACTTACAATGAGTACATAATTTTCCATATTTTTATGTCGTCACAATGATAAGCGATGCAATGGACACAGTCTACCTGTGTACAAAATACAGTAAGTACCAGTTAAACTTACATGTTGAAAGTCTCAAAAGAAACCAGGTTAGGTGCTGCGTCTGTTATCCGAATAACTACAGAGGAACCAGGTTAGGTTTTGCCTCTGTGGTCTGAATAGCTACAGTGACGATACACCTGCTGTCGCCTTGCTAACCCTCTCTCGGTGGGAGGCTGAGTCAGGTTATTATAATTATACATAAACCAAAACTCCCCTTACACACTCCAACCTTCTCTGGGCCTCTCATCTCCATCATGTCAATACTCTACACACTGTATACGGGCAGGCACACTCAATAAACATGACATGACTTACAGCGTAACATAATGTTTGTTTATGTATCATCCTGCTCATTACTGCTTGCGGTAACACCCACTTCGTTGAGCGTTCACGCTCAAAACCAGATCAGGCCTTCGATACTAAACTTTGTCACGTTCTAGTGACTATGCTGCCCTCAGGCTGCTGACACTTAACTTTGTCACGTTCTTGTGACTATGCTGGCCTCAGGCTGCTGATACTTAACTTTGTCACATTCTTGTGACAATGCTGCCCTCAGGTTGGTGGTATTTAAGTTTGTCACTTTCATGTGACTATCGCTGCCTTCAGGCTAGTAATGCTTGTCATCTCCTTAACTTTGTCATGTTCATGTGACTATGCTGGCCTCAGGCTGCTAATACTTAACTTTGTCATGTACTTGTGACTATACTGGCCTCAGACTCTGATACTAAACTTTAATTTTGTCACGTTCATGTGACTATGCTGCCCTCAGGCTGGTGGTATAAACTTTAATTTTGTCACGCTCATGTGATTATGCTGCCCTCAGGCTGGTGGTATTTAACTTTAATTTTGTCACGTTCATGTGACTATGCTACCGTCAGGCTGGTGGTATTTAACGTTAATTTTGTCACGTTCATGTGACTATGCTGCCCTCAGGCTGGTGGTATTTAACTTTAATTTTGTCACGTTCATGTGACTATGCTGCCCTCAGGCTGGTGGTGTTTATCTTTAATTTTGTCACATTCATGTGACTATGCTGCCCTCAGGCTGGTGGTATTTAACTTTGTCACTTTCTTGTGACTATCGCTACCCTCAGGATAGTAATACTTGTCAGCTCCTTAACTTTCTGTAATTTACTGGGACACGTACATGCACCTTGTCTCACTCATCAGGGCACATTCGTGCACCTTCATCAAGGCACGTTCGTGCACCTTGTCTCACTCATCAGGGCACGTTCGTGCACCTTGTCTCACTCATCAGGGCACGTTCCTGACCTCACTAGAGGAAAGGTCACGGCTGCTTAGCTCTGCTCCCGGAGATAATTATCGGATATGGCTAGTGCTATTGGTGAACGAGGTTACGCCCTTCTGTGGGCCGTGTTACAGAATACCAAAGAAAAAAACCTGAAATTAGAGTTAGAAAACTTAAAATTAAAGGAAGAGATAGCAAGAATGAAGGAAGAAACGGGACAAAGAAAGCCGGTGAATGACGATAACTCTGGGGAATGGAAGGTTGTGAGGAGGAGGACGACCAAACTGGTGGTGAAGAAACACACCAAGGATACGACAACAACGACAACAACAGCTAAGTGTACCAACTCATTTGGTCCCTTGATAGACGAATTGGACGTTAGTACAGTCAGAGACAGGGCTGACAAGGAAGGTGTAAAAACTTTAATTGTTGGTGACTCACAGGTAAGGTACTTGGACAGAGCCTTTTGTGGTGTAAATAAAACTAGGATGAGAGTGTGTTTACCAGGGCTGGGGTGGGGGATATAGTTGACAGGATGGACAATATCTTGTCTGGTAATGGGAACAAACCCATTATCTGCCTCAGTGCAGGAGGCAAAGATATTGGCCGGTGCAGGAGTGAAGAGCTTCTTGATAAGTTCAAGACAGCTATAGATCGCATTAGGACTAAGGGAGGGATCCCTATCATATGTGGTGTCCTGCCTAGAAGGAGAGTTAGCAATGAATGGTTGTCAAGGGCAGTTGGTGTCAACGGCCGTCTTGACGGATATTGCAAGTCAATATCAGTCCCATTCATTGACAACTTGGACAACTTCTACGGCAGAAGGGACCTTTATGCTAGGGATGGAGTATACCTGCCTCGGGAAGGGGTGGCAACACTGGCGGGGTCTCTAGAGGGGGCAGTTCAAAAGATATCGAAGTCTTTAAACTGCTAGGGGAACATATGGACACGGGGGTGAGGGAGACTGCAGCGGGAGCGGGTAAACAAAGTGAAAGATTACAGGGAAATAGTGTTAGGAATGATGACAAAATCAAATTAGACAGGGAGTTTAAACCTAAACGCGGTAAAGGAAGGACTCAGAACACGACTAACTTAAATGTGTACTACGCGAACAGAAGAAGTAAGAGAAACAAAATGGATGATATTAGGGTCTTGGTTTGTACCGAAAAAAATCGATATAATAGCATTCACTGAAACATGGATCAACCTAGACTCACGTGAGTTACCTGTCGAATACCAAATTGCTGAGTTCAAATTGTTCCATACAGATAGACCGTCCAGGGTAGGAGGCGGAGTAGCCATCTACGTAAGGGATAATCTGAAGAGCGAAATATATAAGGAAATAAAAACTGAGCGGAATAAAGAAACATTTTGGATAGAATTAATCTACGGTAGGGAAAAATTAATCATAGGAGTAATATATAGGCCTCCCAATCTTGATAGAGTTAATGAGCGACTTATCTGGGATGAAATGTGCAGGGCTTCTATACACAACAAAGTCTGTATAGCAGGCGATTTTAACCTTGGCCAAATAGATTGAACTGACCTTACGGGTAACTCAGTATCATAGGATTTCCTCGAAACGATCCAGGACTG